TATTATTATTATTATTATTCATCCAGCTAGAAGGGACCCTGTGGATCATTGAGTCCATCCCCTGTCAAGGCGGCCCAGTGGGGGAATTCGAACTCCCAACCACAGCCGGAGACCTCAGCCAGGGCCCCTGTCCAGCCCGCCGGAGGGTGTCAGGCCCAGCGCAGCCGCCCCTGTGCCGGAAGACCCCAGACCCGCCTCACCTGCGCAGGGCCCCCTTCGCACCGAGAGGTTGTCCAAGGCCACATCCAGATACGGGTTGCTCCCCCGGATAACCTCAAAGAGGACCTAGGACAAAGCAGAAGGGGTCAGTCCACGGCTCTCTTGCCACCGTCCCGCCTCCAAGGCGCGGCCACGAAAAAGGCACCGTCTTCGCACGAGCAACCCCCTGCGCACGGTTAGCGCGGCTGCTTCCACACCCAGAACTATTTCCAAAGAACCATCCACGGAGGCGTGGGTGACTCCATGCATGAGGCAGATAAATAGGACTGGAAATTTGGTGCCCACGGGATGTGTAACCCCTTTCTCTCTACCGGCTCTTGTCGAGGGGAATCCAATCCCTTCCTGCTCATTTCCACCCTGGGAGACCAGACCCTCCTCGGGCCCCTTTGTCGCCCAGATCACGGAAGACCCTCAGCGGCGGACAGGGGGGACCAGCCCTCTGCTGTGGGCCAGGCCCCAGGAGGGAACGTGCCCAGAGCCGGGCTCCGGAAGCTCCGCATTTCCTTCCACCATATCGTGTGATAGGATCGTAGAATCATGGGGTTGGAAGGGCTCCCTAAGGCCATCTAGTCCAACCCCCCTGCTCAAGGCAGGAATCCAAATCAAAGCACATCGGACAGAGGGTTGCCCCATTTTTCCTTGAAGGGCTCCAGCGTTCAGAGCGCCCACCACCTCCCCCCTGAGGTCATGAGTTCCCTTGTCCTACTGTTCTAACAGTTAGGAAGTTTTTCCTGATATTCAGCCTAAATCTGGTTTCCTGTCGCTTGAGCCCCTTTTTATGTGTCCTGCAATCTGGGATGATGGAGAAAACAGATCCTGCCCTTCCTCTGTAGGTCTGCCATTCAAGTCTTTGAAGCGTGCTCTCCTATCAACCTTCTGTCTTCTTTTCTCCAGGCTAAACCTGCCCAGTTCCTTCCGTCTCTCCTCCCAAGGCTTGGTTTCCAGCCCCCTGATCATCCTCCTGGTCGCCCTCCTCTGAACTTGTCCCAATTTGTCAGCCTCCTTCTTGGTGTGTCCAGAACTGGACACAAGACTCAAGGTGGGCTTAACCTGTGGCTGCTTTTCTCCACCAGGAGACAAAAAACAGAATCTCACAGGGGATCCCGGATGGTCCCAAGCAGCCCGTCAGCCTAGTGGGCGTCTGCACGTCTACCCATAAGTGTACGTATCACCTATGTGCACACCAATGTATACAGAAACACAGATGTAACCCCACACACACACATGTGCCACCCAGCTGTAAATGCCCACAGGGACCTTTGCAAACCTAAGTAACAAAATCAGATATAAAAAAGAAAAACCGTAAATCCATGAATGGATAGAACAACAGAAACAAAGAAATTAGTAGTGAGAGGCCATGAAGGTAAAGTTTTCAAAAGCCAGCAATCAGCTGAAGAGGAGAAAGGATTCAACTTGGGAACCAAGCTCTGAATGATGGCTGGACAGCCTTTCTGCAGCTCCCTTTCTCCCTCTGCCCCCCAACCCCGGAGGGCGCTGGGCAGATCCCTCCGGAGAAGGGGTTTGTTGCGCAGACGGAGAAGGCGGCTGCCCTGTCGTGTTTGTTGTGGCACCCTTCGGGCTCCGCCCAAAGACCACGCCAACGAGGGGAGCGCATGGGAGCCGACGGTGCCTCCCGAGAGGGGACCCATTTGCTCCTGGCTCTTTCTCCCCACTCACCCGACTGGGCTGAGGCCCCCCATAGGGCGCGGTCACAGACCCCAAGAGCCACCCAGGGCTCTGGATCCCAGTCCGGGTCCAGAGCAGGGCGGTGGCCCCCGAAGGCCCCTCCAGCAGCACCCGGAGTTGCGTGTCGACCTCCACGATGCCGGACATGTGATAGAAGAATTCCACGCAGGCGTCGGTCTCCGCGCAGAACGGCCGGCTGGAGAGAACCACGGACTGGCCCGGCTGCAAGGAACCCCCTTCCGCGTAGATGTAGTAGCCCTCTGGGGAGAAAGAAGGGCAAGGAGGCAGGAACGGTGAGGGGAGGGCTGGGGGCTCCCCTGGTGCACCCATGGGTGCCAAGGGCCAATTCATCCCAGACGTCAGAGATCTCAAACAGGCGCCCCCCCGTCTCCAAGACCAGCGGTCCCTGACCCAGATGTTCTTAGACCTCAACTCCCAGGAAGTCCTCGTCAGCATCGCGAGAGGCTCAAGGCTTACGGGCGTTTTAGTCCAAGAACATTTGGAGACCGAGGGCTGGGAACCATGGCTGGAGTGGATGGGAAAGGCCACAGAGAGGACAGCGGCCATGATCCTCAACCTTTTCTAAAAGGGGAAGAGGGCTCAGGGTGAGATTAGGCACCTCAAAGCCTAGGCATATTTCATGGTCGTGCCAAGTTTTCTCTCCAGGCCCACAAACTCCTGACAGCTACCTGTCCGAGACATCATTTGAGGCTGGCTGGCTTGAAAGCCATGGCCAGGTTTCTCTCTTCTTTTTTTTCTCCCCAGTTTGTTCTTGAAGGAATCTGGCAACAGACCGTGTGTTTTCTGGCCTCTTTTCTGGCCTAAAACTTGCAAAATTTTCCAGAAGGCATGGCAACTCTCTCTCCAAACCAAGGACATTCCAAAGCCCATCAGCCACTCTGTTCTTCAAAATGCTGGTGTGTTGTGACCACTGTACCTGCTCTGTGTGGCGATTCCCCCCCCCCCGAGGCCTGAACTAGGTGGAGCAGTTAACACATCTTTAGAAGGCGACCTCCTTGAAGAGGCAGGGCCACTATCCTAAGACAAGCAAGAGAAGAAGAGGCAGCCCAAACGAGCGGTGGACGGACTCAAGAAAGGAAGCCACATTTTGGGTTTCTAAGAGATGAACTGGGCCATTTGTTAACAAGAGGGGATTTTGGAGGTTGCTGTAAATTGGCAGCGACTGAACAGCACCATGCCTTTGGTCCGTTGCTGGTCATGGGGCAATGAGCAAAGCCCGAAGCCTCGCTGCCTGAGGACTTCTGGAAACGAGAGTCCAACCCCAGTCCGCAAATCGGCACACCTCTCCTTCCCAGCCCAACCCAGACCCACCCACCCCCCTTGCCTGCTTACCTCCATGAGGATAATCCCCCGGGGGTCCCGTCTCTTCTGTGGGCGTGCTTTGGTTCGTCCGCGTCCATGTGTGGTTGCCGGCACCCGAACTGACCCATCCACAGAAAGGATTGGCGTTGTCATTGAAATCGCACTGGGCGAAAATCTCTGAGGATGGGAAGCCAGGGGATGAGAAATCGAGAGCCAACCTTTTTGGATCTTCCTCCCCCCCTTTCTCTCCCCCCTCCGCCAGTTTTCTCCCCCAGTTTCACACCTTGACCCAGAAGATCACGAGTTACCTTCACACGGCGAGATGCGCACGCTGTCCACCGCCAGGCCAGGCTTCCCTCTGTAGATTCCTTCAAGAACAAACTAAACAAGAGAAACCCAAGGCTGACCCTCCTGAGCATCAGAAGAAACTGCGGGGCAGGGCTTCCCGGCTCCACAACAGGGTCCAGCCAGCCTGCCTCCCCATCTTTACCTTGGCTCAGGAAACGGCGAATCCCACCACCTCGCTGGGAGTTAGGAAGCAAGCTAACAGCTCTGATTCCTAGCACAAAACAAGGTCTCTCCTGCAAAGCCCTCACAGGGGAAACTGTGATGCAACACCTGAGCGGCTGGAGTAAATCAGCAGGAGGGCTGTGAGTGGCTTCCATCCCTTTTGCGATCTGCCCATCAAGGCAGACTTTGCTAAAATTGAGCCGTCCAAACGCTTGAGGATGGCGTGGCTCTCTCTGATCCCAGGTGCAGAGGAATCAGTGAAAACCGACAGGCCGCAGGCGAGCTCGAAATGTATGGTTCATAATGTAAGGGCAACCAGGAGCCTGCCTTGTTCCACACACCACCCCAGAAACTGGCCCGGGGTACCCCTTTCCATTTGCATTTAGCACCCGAGACCTTCACCTGCTTCCTCTGTGGCCTTCTCACCTGGACGGTGGCTGTCCCAGTGTAGTTGATTGCTCCGAGATTCCAGTCAGGTCCATGCTCCCCACGAAGGGTTAACAAAGGGGACCCCAGTTCTCCCCCTGTTTAAAAGTCAGAGGATAGAGAAGAAGGACACTCAGTGAGGGATGTTCTCTGCAGAACGGATCTAGTCTCCACGCTCTCCTCGTCCTTCTTCCCCCCCGCAAACATTCCCCCCTATGAGCACTTGCCTGGCACAGCAGCTGCGTACACGTTCAGAGCGGTGCTGTTGGAGACGCCATGCAGAGTGTAATGGAAGCTCAGGGCCAGGCAGCCCCCCAGGGAGTGGTATGTGGGGCTCTTCAGAAGGGCTGCGCCATCCCCGTTAGGGTTCAGGGAATCCAGCAACATGTAGAATCCGACTGCAAGGACACAGGAAAAGCTCAGCGTCTGCCCAGGGGTGAAGCGCTTCCCCTAAACAGCTGCAAGACTCAAGAGAAGGTCTGGAAGGAAGAGATGAGTCTCCTTTGCAGGGGTGGAAGGTTAGGGCTGCCCAGACACGAACTCAGGACCACGGACTGACTCAGTGAAGCAGGACAGCATCGGAGGAGTCCCACGGTCAGAAGAGCCCAAGGGTCTCTCTAGACGTCCCACTCAGTATCTTTTTCCCAAAGAGGCCAAACAGATGCCTTGCAGGAAAACCTGTAAGTGGGAGGGCTTACGAGAGGGACCTCCCCTGTTCAGCATCTCCTGCAAAGAGCGTTCAAGCTAGCTCAAGGCAAAGGCAGACCTTATAGACAGCCCATGGTTAGAAGGGAAAAAAATCCTTAACCGATGAAAGCATCTCGCACGTCACAGCAACAGCTCCCCTCCCCACCATGAGTAGGCAGAATTAGCTTGCTTTGTTGGGTGATGGGTCTTCGGGAATAAAGCGCACTGAGTTCCCTTGAAGCCTGATTCTGCAAAACTGAAAGACGGCCTTGACCACTTTTCTCCAACATTACAGTGCTTTCAGTTCTAATTACAGGCTATCTCTAATGCCTGTTTCTGCTCTCGGTGGAAAAAAATCACTCTGTGCAAGCACAGGGTCCTAGATTCAGCCCCCTTGGAAGTTCCAAGGAGGGCTTGGGGGCGGGGGGGCAAAAGAAAAAACCCATCTGAAGCCCTGGATAACCAGAGCCGGTCCTTGAGAGCTGGGCAGGTTAAGATTCTGATTTAAGTGTCTTCAGCGGGGGGGGGGGTGTTGTTCCGGTGTGTTCCTGCCCACCCTTCTCTTTCTGCTCCGGAGGAACTGACATTACCAAAAGGTCTTAGCAACAGGGAGAAGAAAACAGCAGCCCCTCTTTTCAGCGTGGAAAGAACCGAGGCAGAACTCACATCCAGGTCTGGAGAAATCATCTTCTGGACCGACTCCATCTTCATCCCCTGGCCCAGTCCACTGCTCCCACTGAACATCGCCCTCGGCTGGGTTTTCCCATCCACATAGGTCATCGAGACGGTCAAAATCGCATCCGGTCACGCAGGCTGCAGGCCAGAGAAAAACCCACTCGGTCATCTTGGGTGGAAAGACCCAGTGAGCTCAACTGCTCCCCCCCCCAGCATCCACTCAAGACACCCTGATTCTGCCCCACCTCCCTTGGCACCTACGAGAGCAAGGGCCGAGCCGGAGGGAGACGGTGTCCAGGGCCATGTCAATGTCTTTCGTCTCTGCGCGTGTGGCCACGAAAGCAACCTGTGCAGACAGAAAGAGATGGGGGGGGGGAGAGAGACTTGGTGGGAAGTCTGTGGAGGCTGCTCTAGGAATTACTGTAGAGCCCAGGCGTGGTGGACCAGCTCTGAGAACAATTAGGGAAACGTTAAGTGTGCCTGACCTCAGTTTTCTAGGTCTCAGGGGAAAATGGCGCAACGACAGTGTTACGACAGCACTCGAGCACACCCTTTGGGATGATTTGCACACCCAGCAAAGTCTTTCTTTAGGTGGAACTTCATACTGGGCAGAGAGCCCTCAGAAAAACTTAGTAGTAACCAGTTATTTTTTTTTAAATCTAATCCTTTCCCAGTAATTTGCAACAACTAAGGTACATCTGAGTAACGTTAGGAATGGAAATTAATAACAGAATTATGTCTGTAGGCACCTGGAAAGAAAGGTGCGGGTCTCCTTTGTTTTAACAGAAACAAACCCAAGACACCAAATACTTTAGATACCATCTATTTTGTTTTAACAGGAAAAATCTCGGCGTCCTTTTTGAACCAGGATGTTCCCTCAACCTGTATAGAGAATTAGTGCAGGGAAATCACCCCAGAGGGAGACCACAGCTGCGATACAAGGATATCTGCAAGCAGGATCTGAAGGCCTTTGGAATGGACCTCAACAGATGGGAAACCTTGACCTCTGAGCGTTCAGCCTGGAGGCAGGCGGTGGATCATGGCCTCTCCCAATTTGAAGAGACCGTTGTCCAGCACGCCGAGGCAAAGAGGCTGTTCTGAAACCAGCAAAATCAGGGAGCTGGACAGGGGACAGATTGTATTTGTCTTCCGTGTGGAAGGGATTGCCACTCTCGGATTGGCCTCCTCAGCCACACTAGATGCTGTTCCAAGTCCTCCATTCAGAGCACATTACCATTGTCACTTGAGACTGAAGGATGCCTAATCCAATATTCAAAAACGTTACTATTCCAAGCCTGCTGAAAAGCAGCTATTTTAGTTAATCTCGGAGAACAAAATAAAAAGTAGAGCTACTTGCTAGAATGGAAACGGTAATGGTAATGGTTCTTGTGCTTTGGCACTGCAACTGTAACTAACTACTTTTTAAAAGTAACTTTCTCAACTCCTGTGTGCAACCTTCCACGTTCTCGAAAAGCAGCTTGCCAAACTCTTGGGAACAGATTCCCCTCACCTTAAACGGGCGCTGGACCGGGATCTGGGCAGTCACAGACCCCGGCAGCCATGCCGAACTCTGCATCCCTTTCCGCGTCCACAGAGTGGAGACGTTCCCTGAAGAGTCCTGAATGTTCACGGCAAGCTGAGCCTCGGGGCTGAAGCTGTACAAATAATAAAGAAACTCCACGCAGATCTCAGAGGCCGGGGGATCCAGCCCCGGGCTTTGTAACTGCACAGATTCGCCCGCCTCTGGGTAGATGTAATACTCTCCTGCAAAGGGGGAAGAAAGAGAAGAGGATGGTGCTACAGATCTGGGGGGCCTTTGGGGCGGAGGAAGATTTGGGCGGAGGCGGGGCTGAAGCTGTACAAATAATAAAGAAACTCCACGCAGATCTCAGAGGCCGGGGGATCCAGCCCCGGGCTTTGTAACTGCACAGATTCGCCCGCCTCTGGGTAGATGTAATACTCTCCTGCAAAGGGGGAAGAAAGAGAAGAGGATGATGCTACAAATCTGGGGGGCCTTTGGGGCAGAGGAAGATTTGGGCGGAGGGCCTGAGTCCCCACTTCCATCGCCTATAAGAGGCTTTTTTTTCTGGCTGAAAGGCCGGTCAGCATCTCCTCTTGGAAGAAGCTTGTGGGGGGGTGGTCTTTTGGGCAAAAGATCTTACTGCGCTCGGGTGTCCCTCCTGGGGGGCCAGGACTCTGCCCGGGTTTCCCCCCTTGTTCTCGCAGCCACTCCCCGCCATCATCGTGGGGCTGAGTCCAGTCACAGAAAGGCCTCTCTGGGTCATCAAAGTTGCAGCCGGCGAGGATGGCTAAGAGGGAAGGAGGGAGGCAGGTATCAGCATGAGCAACCCCAGAAAGAAATGGAAAACCCCATAACAAGTGCCGGCAGCTTGTTGTGCAGGCACAACCGCTTCCATCGAACACAGATCCTGAGTGCGCCTTTGAGGTGACTCCGTGCCTTATCAGAGCCCATCCCTTTTTTTTAATGGAGGATAAATAAAATCTGTGATGACATATCAGCCTCCTCTCACAGGGTGGCATAGAAGATGGGCCTCTTGGGCTTCGCCCGGGGTGTCCGGGCGGGAGGGGAGGCCACCTACCCTTCAAGGCAAAGCTTTCCTGCGATGGTTTGCAGCCACCCATCGGGTTTGATCTGAAACGAAAGAATCAAGAAGAGGGGCCCGTGAGGAACAGGAAACAAAGGAGAGTTTGGACAGTGACTCTTTGGTTTTGGCAGATCCCCCATCTGATCCCGGCCGTGAAAGTCTTCGTGAATACAAACTTTACATCTGTTCTTATGCTGCTTTGGAAGTGTACCCTGCACCCTTGTCAAACAGTAAACAGTCATAAGTAATTGCACTGTTCCTAACGGGTTCTTTCTAAGCTCAGGAAGCAAGTCACATTAAATCTGTTGCAAGAAAATAACAAAGAGTTTGTCACTGGCTGTCGATCCGTTTCTGTGGCAGAATCCAAAGTGCTGGTTTTAACCTATAAAGCCCTAAACGGATCAAGTGATCTCAAAGACCGCCTCTCTCTCTATGAACCGGCCCAAGCATTAAGATAATCAGGAGAGAGTTTTTTCTTAGTCTTGCCACCTTCACAATTGCATTTGGTGGGGACACGGGAGAGGGCCTTCCCGGTGGCTGCTCCTCTAGACCTTGGAACTCTCTGCTACTGGAGGCCAGCCTGGCCTCATCTTTGCTCTCCTTCCGCAAGCAGGCAAAGACCTTTCTCTTCAGGCAAGCCTTCCCTCAGTAACACAGTACAGTGGGGTCTTGACTTGAGAACTTAATCCGTATTGGAAGGCGGTTCTCAAGTCAAAAAGTTCTCAGGTCAAATCTGCATTTCCCATAGGAATGCATTGAAAACCATTTGATCCGTATCTGCTCTTTTCCGTCTATAGAAACTAATGGGAAGCTGCTATTCCGCCTTTGACCACTAGAGGGGGATATTTTTTTTCTTTTTTTTTCTTAGGTCAAGAAAGGTTCAGGGAAGGCAGGGAAAATACAGTCCAGGCAGTACAGTACCAGGCAGTCCGAAGACTGTCTCCCAATCCACTCTCTAAACGCTGGGAGGAGTGAGGAAGCAGACAGGCACCCTTTTCACTGGCCAACAGTTAACGGAAAGTTCACATTTTGCACTTTCTCTGCCTCTCACGTGGGTTTTTTTCAATTCTTAACTCAAATCTAAGTATGTAAGTCAAGTCAATATTTTCCTATGAGAGTGGTTCTTAAGTCAAAATGTTCTTAACTCGAGCCGTTCTTAAGTCAAGACCCCACTGCAACTGTGTGTGATTTTTTTTAAAGATGGATAGTTAGACATTCTTGCTTTGACTGGATTTTTAGTACTACCTCTGTTTTCCATTTTTGCATTTTCCATTTCTCAGAGTAACTTTTTAATTTTTTCCCCTATACTTATTGATCTTTGCCTTACTTAATCTTGCATGCTAATGATGTAAGATGTCTTTTTAGTCCCTGTTCGTAGTTTTAAATATTGTCTTTTAATTAGGTTAACCACTGTTGTATGCTGATTGTTTTCAACTTTAAATATTGTCTTTCATGGTTGTAAAGTGCCTTTGGTCCTTTTCAAGGAGAAAAGTGGGGTAAAAATATTTTAAATAAATAAATACATAAATAATTCCATGTTCACAGCTCATTACTTTTCCTTCCTTTCCCCTCCCCATTTTAAAATCCACTTTAAGTTTGAAAAACTTATTTTGTCGGGCGTTTCAAAACACTTCATCTTAATGCTTTCTTGGATCTTGTTTTATATTACTCAGACTGTAAGCTGCTCAGAGTAGATAAGTTTGAATCTAGATGGGCAGAGTAAAAGATGAATAAATAAATAAGTAATAAATAAATGTATGCTGAATGTTTATGCTGAGAGTATAAACTTATTAATTTTAATTAGTGCCTGTTGTTAAATGTAATGTCAATTTAATTTTAACTTCACTTTTAAGTATGTTCATGTTATTTTATGTTATGATCACTGTTGTGAACCACCCAGAGTGGTCATCAGTCAAATGCGTGGTCAATCCATCCATCCATCCGTCCGTCCGTCCGTCCGTCCGTCCGTCCGTCCGTCAGTCAGTCAATCAATCAATCAATCAATCAATCAATCAATCAATCAATCAATCAATCGGTTAATCAGCGATTGGCATGAAGCATTCCACATCCCCAGTCAAAACACACACACCTCTAAAATTCCTTAAAACAAACTGAAAAATAAATTTCAAGAATGAATATAACTAAGTAACGGACAGAAGTATTTTCCTCCTTGCCAGTGAAGACAAAGACGCCTTTTTCTAGAAATGGTTAACATTTCGTTCAGTCAATCTATAATATGAACAAATAATACTATTCAGTAGACCATTAGATCCCGGCCGTGAAAGTCTTCGTGAATACAAACTTTACATCTGTTCTTATGCTGCTTTGGAAGTGTACCCTGCACCCTTGTCAAACAGTAAACAGTCATAAGTAATTGCACTGTTCCTAACGGGTTCTTTCTAAGCTCAGGAAGCAAGTCACATTAAATCTGTTGCAAGAAAATAACAAAGAGTTTGGGGCACCAAATGAAGACCATTGGGTACAATTTTCATGTGTTGAATTTATATATAATTTATTCATTTGGTACCCCGAAACTCTTTGTTATTTTCTTGCAACAGATTTAATGTGACTTGCTTCCTGAGTGGTCCCATCCATCCGTCCGTCCGTCAGTCTTTATATATAATTTATTCATTTGGTACCCCAAAATTCTTTGTTATTTTCTTGCAACAGATTTTATGTGACTTGCTTTATATATATAGCCACTCAGAGTGGTCGCATAGACCAGATGGGCGGGATACAAATCAACCAATCAAGCAATCAATCAAGCAATCAATCAATCAAGCAATCAATCAAGCACCATGAGACTGTTGTTTACATGGCCCCTTGCTGCCCTTCTGGCAGTCTGAGTTAGCCTCTTCCTCTGATCTCAACTGGCCAGACTTCCGAGAGATACTTCAATCATTCTCCAAACTCCACTCTGTACCTATCCCTTCAGAAACCATTTCCCCGGCTGGCAGATCCCAACATGAGATTCTGATTCAGAGCATCTTGGAACCTTGCGTGGGTGTTGACTGCGCAAAGTTCAAAGTGAACAGCAAAATGAGTTTGGGTGTGTGGTATAATTGTCCACCTAGAATAACTCATTAGGATTAAGATGCAGCAATAAGGAAACTGCAATGGCTATAAATGCCAGGAACTAACGGATTGGGCTAGAAAAACAGTGAAGACAAACCCTCTTCATTTGTAAAGTCGGGTTACAGGGGACTTTGGAGAATCCAAATCTAGGGGGAAATCAGACAGATATAGCAACCTCTAACAAGAGGGGTTCAGGGCAACCAGGAACCGACTGCTTGATCTTAAGGAGAGCTTGTCCCCATCCGGTGCTGTTTAGATGTGTTGGACTACAGCATCCATATTCCTCTAGCTGACCATTCTGGGCATTATATTCCAACACATCTGAAATATGCTGGATTGGACAAAGATGCTCCATTCAAGCTTTCTTTCCCATCTGTTAGACAAGTTTCCTATGACTCTGGAGGATAATGAATGAACGTGAAGAATTTTGCAAGCTTATTATGAATTCTGCAAAATCTGAGTTGCTAAACAGCTCAGCAGAAAAATAGCACAGGCAGCTCTTACCTTCCTTTCTAGCTAGCCAGGTAGGAGATTTCACTATTAGAATCTTGAGACAGAGGCAAGCTGAGCTCTGAAATTCAGTGATGAAGCTTGGAAAGATGAAAACCTATCCACTGATTTAATTGGTTTTACTCCAATCAAAGGCCTAGATTTCTGAGCGTTTTGTCGGGAAACTTATAATCATCATCAGGCTGCTCTAAAATTTCAAGAGAAACGAGTCATTCTTGACTGTTCTTAAGCACAGTTCCTACATGCAGCTCTACCTCTCCGCCTAAATATGCCCACATGCATGTCCCCATTTCAACGAAGCCTCAACAAAATGTTTAGATGCTCTTCCCCTCCCTCTTGCTGCTGTGCTCCAACGGGATATTGATAAATCCAAATCAGATCTTGC